ATCCTTGTAGAAGTCAATAAATGCAGACATTGAATGGCCTGTCAAGAACTGTTCATTTAGATTCTCGAATCGGGAGACGTAATATGCACATAGGCGGGCTTTTAAAGTGTTCTTCTTCAGTTTACGCCTGATATCCAGCGCACGCTGTTTAGACTGAAGAGCTGAAGAAAAGTCGCCTAGTTTATCGTGTGTGACGCCGAGTAAATGGTATTTGTCAGCTGTTTTTGAGTGTTCTTCTGTAAACAGTTTACGCCTAATATCCAGTGTACGATGTTTAGACTGAAGAGCTGAGGAAGACTCGTCTAGTTTATCTTCTGTGATGCCGAGTAAATGGTAACTGTCAGCTGTGCGTTAGTGTTCTTCTCCAAACAGTTTACGCCTGATATCCAGTGCACGCTGTTTAGATTGAAGAGCTGAAAAAAAGCACCTTGTTGATGTTATGTGAGGCCGATTAAATGGTAACAGAGAGCTGTGCTTGCGTGTTCTTCTCCAGACAGTTTACGCCTGATATCCAGTCCACGCTGTTTAGACTGAAGACCTGAGGAAAAGTCGGCTAGTTTATGTTGTGTCTCCCCGAGTGAATAGTAAATCTCAGCTGTGCTTCAGTGTTCTTCTCCAAACAGTTTACGCCTGATATCAAGTCCACGCTGTTTCAACTGAAGAGCTGAAGAAAAGAGGCCTCGTTTATCTTGTGTGATCCCGATTTAATGTTAACTGTCAGCTTTCTTGAGTGCTCCTCTACAAACAGTTTACGTCTGATATCCAGTGCACTCTGTTTAGACTGAAGAGCTCAGGAATAGTCGCCTAGGTTATGTTGTGTGACGACGAGTAAATGGTAACTCTCAGCTGTGCTTAAGTGTTCTTCTCCAAACAGTTTACGCCTGATATCCAGTACAGTCTGTTTAGACTGGAGCGCTGAGGAATAGTCGCCTAGGTTATGTTTTGTGATCCCGAGTGAATGGTAACTGTCAGCTGTGCTTGAGTGTTCTTCTCCAAACAGTCTACGTCTGATATCCAGTGCAAGCTGTTTAGACTGAAGAGCTAAAAAGAAATTGCCTAGTTTATGTTGTGTGATCCCGAGTGAATGGTGACTGTCAGCTGTGCTTGAGTGTTTTTCTCCAAACAGTTTACG